ACCAGGGATATCTGTGAAAAGAAAAAGAACAGTGGGGGATAGAGAATAGGAAAAATCATAGTAAAAATAGCAAGAGCAGGAGCCTAGAGAATAACAGGATTATAAGAAGAATGGGTACTTGGGGGAGGGAAGTAAGCTCATGAGTTGGAGGGACTGTAAGATAGAAAAGGAGAGAAAGATGAGGATGGTAACATGGACTTTAAAAGAATCAGGTTCATGTTAATTGGTGAATAATATATCCCTTTTGTGGAGGTAAGGGGATTAACTCCTTCTTGTAGATGGGGACCGCCCTGACAAATGCTGCTTTTTATCTAACCACCAGAAGTCCTCTGGTAGTCCAATTTTGTACAAGTTAGACGGTCTGCCCCTTTTTAAGGGGCATAATTTGAAAGTGACAATGTCCACCAATGGTTTCTGGCATTTGACTACTTGGTCTCAGTTGGTAGCCTTGTTTGTGAGGCTTAGAGGTGTGGCCTTGCTGGAGGAAGTGTGTCACTGAGGGCAAGCTTCTCCGTTTCAAAGCTGCTTGTTGGTGTACTGTCTCTGCTTTCCGTTTGTGGCTCAAGATGTGAGCTCCCAGCTCCCATAAGCCCCAAATAAACCCATAGTGTTTTTATCACAGACAGAGAAAACATAACTATTATAAAAAAAAAAAAACAAAAAAATTTTGTATTCATAATTAACATATTAACAAATTAACATTTGTATTCATAATTTCTAAGGATGTGTGTCAAGAACTCAACAGTCTTCAACATTTATTGCATGTGCCTGTAGGCTACCCTCAGTGTAAGTATAGAGGGGCAGACGCAGTGAGTTCTTTTTATTTCTTTCGACTTAAAAATGTGTGTGGCTGTTTTGCCTGCTTGTATCATTGTGGCCAAAATGAGTGCCACTGAGGCTGGGGAAAGGCATTTTTTCCACAGGAACTGAAGTTACAGAGGGCTGTGATCTGCTATGTGAGTACTAGAGACTGAACCCAGGTCCTCTGGAGCAGCCAGTGCTCTTAGCCATGGAGCCATCTCGTCACCACTCAGCACTGATTTCTCAATGGCTCTGGGGGATTTTAAAGAGTAAAGTTTGGCTGTTTTATGGAACTTGAAAGAAATTCAAGTAACTAAGGCTTAGAATCTCTGGAATTGTGAAACACTGAGATGACTACACTCCTACCTCTTAAAAACCAAACCATGGAATGTTCCAGTAGACTGGATAACAATTGAGGTCAGCATTTTTAACATCTCTCAGCTGGAGTACCCTAGTTAACTAATCAATAATAATGAATTTGAGATTTATTTATTTATTCATCTTTGCAAGGAACAAATGGCCCCTGCAAACAATGCTCTCTAGAAATCCTCAAAAAAACAAAACAAAGCAAATAAACAAACAAAAAAAACCCTCTCCAGAAATGATGTGTAGGACTGCTCTGATTCACTGTATCAAACAGTGATTTCTTCACTCCCCCACTCCACCTTTAACAATAATGTTCTTCAACTCAAGATTGTGAGATGCTTATATACTAAGATTCAGGGTGTGAACCTCCAGACAGAACATTATTACATGTATAGAGTTGTATTATCTTCAGAAGAGCACATATATAAATGATGCATAAAATTGATGCCTCAAACCTCAAGCAAAAAACACACGCCTTTGCACTAAGAGGGACATTTTAAAATCTTCTACTGTCAGTACTGGAGAGGTGACTCAGTGGTTAAGACTGTATATTGTTCTTTCAGAGGATCTAAATTTGATTCCTAGCACCTATATCAGGAGGCTTACAACCACCTGTAATTTTAACCCTCCAGGAGTCTAACGCCTCTGGCCTCTGTGGCAGCAGTATTCATGGGCATATAAGACTCCCTCCACACACATACACATCCTTAGAAACAAAAGTAAAAAAAAATTAAAACCTTACAATGACATTCAAAGTGTCAATGCAAAGAAAGACAACATATAAAAATGTTTCTTGAAATATCTTAAATTGTTTGTGGTGATTTGAATGAACATGGACCTCATAGACTCATAGATTTTAAAGCTTGGTTACCAGAGAGTGCCATTATTTGAAAGGATTAGTAGGTGTGACCTTGCTGAAATAGGTGTGGCCTTGTTGAAGGAAGTCATTGGGAGTGGGCTCTGAGGTTTCTAAAACGCAAGCTAGGCTCAGGAGCTTTCTCTTCCTGCTGCCTCTAGATCTGTATGTAGAATGCTCAGCTACTTCTACAGCCACCATGTCTGCCTGCATGTTCCCATGCTCCCCTGCCATGATGGTAATGGACTAAACCCCTGAAATTGTAAGCAAGCACTAATTAAATGCCTTATTTTATAAAAGTTGCCATAGTCATGGTATCTCTTCATAGCTGTAGAACACTAAGATATCCTTTTAAAAAATTAATTTTAATTAAACCTTGTTTTTTCTTTTTGATCAAGCAAATGTGAACCTAGAATGTCTGTCTGCAAAATAGTTCCTGCCTTCTCTCCAACTGATGTCTCTGGTTGGGTTTCCTTTGTATTCTTTGGGTACACACTGGCCTGGGGAAAAAGGGACATTGCTGAAGAGAGTGAAGGATAAAAAATAGTTTCATCTACAGCTTTCTTAGCCTGCATACCTTTATAATATCCACAACACTATTAAAATAGCTATATCTGATCTCACAAATTGCTGTTTAGTGAGTGAAGGTATACATTCCTAGGTGGAACTTTAGGTCAGCTTCCTGAATATTGACAAATGACAAAATCAAGAGTTGTGTTGTGAGTTGTGTTCATTCACCAGTCAGGTTCTCTGAGTCCTTGCTATGAGTTCAATTCTTTCACTTGTTTGAGACAGAGCTGTAAAAGAAAGAGACTAAGAATCCTGCCTAATAGAGTTAATAATGTTTGAAGATGAACAGTTAGTAGTAAAATACATGCTCTCGTATAAGACAAAAAGAACCATGAGAAAAAAGGAGCAGAAAAAGGAGGACAGACTGACCTTTAATCTGAGTCTTGAATGAAGTAAGTCCAAATTTTAGGCAAAGTCCTGAGATAAGAGCATGTCCTGTTTGTCACAGAACTGCATGGAACAGGCTTGTGGATCCAGAGTAGCAGGGAAGAAGAGAAAGAAATGAAGCTCATGTGAGGGAAAGGATAATTCTCCAAGTGCTTTGGACTCTCATAAAGAAGAATTCGTCTTTTGCATTGATTAAGATGAGAAACCACCGACTTTGGGTCTTCTGTGAGGTAAGATCTTGAATACAAAAGTGCGATATAACTCAACATCTACCTTTAAGGGTTGCTCTGACAACTTTCTTGAGCGTAGATACCAAGTTGTCAAGCATTAGGTCCTGCTGCTGCAGAGGTTACGATACTGCTGCAGAGGCTCAGGTGAAAGCTGGCCATGTGACACTTAGTTTCTTTTCTATTGCTGTGAAGAGACTTCATGACCAAGGCAACTTATAGAAGAAGGAAGTTTTAGAGGGAGTGTCCACGACCATCATGCTGTGGAGGTGAGACACTGCACTGGCGAAGTTGCTGAGAGCTTACATCCTTATCTGCAAGTTGGGGGCAGAGAGAGAACTAACTGGAAATGGCTGGAGTTTTGAAACCTCCTCCAACAAGGCCTCAATCTCTTAACCTTTCCCAAGTAGTTCCACCAACTTGGGACCCAGCATTCATATATATGAACGTGCAGGAGCCATTCTCACTCAAACCATCAAACTTCCACTCAGGAAGTAACAGTATCATAAAGATTTTATGAGAAGTAGTCAGACACACATATGTTCTAAAGGTGCTGCTGAGATATTTTTCTTGTAGATAGCATGTAGATTTTAGTGAAAGAGAAGAATCAATGGTGACTCCATGGTGTTGGTCTGAGAGCTGGAAGACTAGAAAAGCTTCACCCTCTGTCGTAAAGACTGTGACTGAAGAGCAGAGCAGAGATGATATAACTCTAGGTTGTGAGGGAGAGAAAATGAGAAATGTGGCTTTAAGCATGTTCTTTCTGCATAGTAACTAGATATTCTGATGAGGATGTCCAATGAGTGCTGAGAGAAAATGAATCTTAAACTTAGAGAGAAACAGTTTGGGAACAGAGGTTATGTAACCCTGGGACAAGGGACACATCAGCATATAACCTTTCTTTCTTTCTCTTTCTTTCTTTCTTTCTTTCTTTCTTTCTTTCTTTCTTTCTTTCTTTCTTTCTTTCTTTCTTTCTTTCTTTCTTTCTTTCTTTCTCCAGCTAATGCTACCTATATAGACATGGCTATGGGAAAACTATGCCACAGCTTCAATTAAGAATGAATCTCCCTATCTATATCAACTCCCAATTGCTCCTTGGTAGGGGGAGGAGGCTGAAGATCCTCTAGCCATCTGTGTCAGAATTTTGGCTGACTTGATCTTACTCATATTTACTACAGTCACTGTGAGTTCATAAAAATGCTCACCTTTTATATGTTGTGTGGTATATATGCAAAGTAACATAGAAATACTATTGGACTCAGAATGTCGTGCACATAATATATTAATATATAAAAGTTCTAGAAATTCTCAGCATGTATTTGTCAAATTATTAATATATCACCTTTGCTCTTTGTTAAGGATATTAATATTATGTGGAAGATATATTTTTTTAATGAGGACTATAAGAACCTTTTTCAGTACTTTCCCAAGAGACACATGTACCTACTGCCTCAGAGGCCAGCTCATTGAGACAGATTGCATGCTTTCTCCATAATTACTTGTCAGAATTCATTGTCAGGCAGACACAATGGGTGCAAATTTTCTAGTTATCTTCATTCTGGTTGCCTGATGATTGTAGCTAATGACACAGCATTGAAAATATGACTATATTGAAACATAATATTAATTATTTCTTTTTACCAAGATCTCTGCTCAAATCTACAGCTTCAATCTATTCTTATTTGGACATACACTAGAAAATTATTTCAGTAAGAGTTTTTGGTGTCTCTTGAAGGAGTGGAGCCTCACCAACAAACCTGTTTCTTCTTTCACAAGCGAGCCGTGTTGCTTACCAGGATAGGAGATGGCGTTGACGTGGGCAGCTCTGATGACTCCCACCCGGGCCCCCCGGCTGCTCTTCATACACATGCAGACACATATGGCAATGCCCGCGATGACCCCCATGATGAACACAACTCCAAACACGATGCCGGCAACCGCAGTGCCCCTGAGAGGAAAAGAAAAGCAGGCCTGTCTCAGAGGTCTGGAGGGAGCCTCGAGCACAGCTCGTGGTTCTAAGCTCAGTGTGTCTTTTACAGTCATGCTTGAGGGAAAGGGTCTTGTTTATTTAGGAGAACACCTTGAATTAATCAAGTACGAGAATCAGTCTCTTATATTTCAGCAAGAAAAATTGAAAGCCTGTGTGGAATTTTGTATCGCACAGTTGGCAAACCCTCCATTCAGATTCCTGCTTTAAAATTTCATAAGTGTGGAACTGAAGAGATGACTCAGAAGCTGAGTGGGTACAGCTCTTCTAGGGGACCAGAGTTTGGTTTCCAGCACCCCTGTAAGGCAGCTTATAACCTCCTGCATCTCTAGCATCCACATGCATGTACCTGGCCACACACACACTCAAATCTTTTTAAAATTCATAAATCCATTAATACGAACCTCTAGTTATAAAATAGTAATATAAAATAATAATCTGAAATCATTTTGCTATGTACTTAAACAGCAAAAATGTGTATACTGTGCACGAACATTCGTTTCAGTGAGAAACCTTAAATACAACTTAATTAAAACGCTTCATATAATAAGGAAACTTTCAAAAAAATTAAAAAGGGGGAAACTTTTCCCTCATAAACAAAGGAAACCAAATGTAACATCTGCCCCCTACCTCATGCACGCAGAGGAGAAAACACTAACTATTCCCAGTAAACTACCCCATGCACGCAGAGGAGAGAACACTAACTATTCCCAGTAAACTCGGGAGTGATGTCAGCAGTGCCTCTATTACCACTATGGCTAATGGTTTTCTCCAGAAAGCTCTAGCTTATGCAACAAAACCAAGTGAAAAAAAAAATCACTTCAGAAGATACTCAACATTATTTATGTACAGCATGTTTTGTAGCATTAATATTTGTCAGTGTTTTTGGAAGTGGTTCATCTTTACCAGAATGACGACCTGATTGGGCAGTGCCATTTCTCCCAACGCTTCCTTGGAAATATTGCACAGTAATATGTGCATAAAAGACTTAACAAGGATGCTCACCAAGATGACTGGGGTGCAGTGGGTAAGATGTTCAACATGGCTAACTTCCTAACAACATTGGGAAAGAAAGCCCAAGAATTAACAGATACTATCAACATTAACAAGATAACTGCAGTTCCCGGGGGGGGGGGGGACTGTATTTTCATGAGCTAAGTTGTTTTTAAATACATACCTATATGTTGTTTTGTAAATATGGGGCAGTGAAGGCATTTTCCATTCTCTAATTTGTGCACTGCACTAATGGCTACCATTTTCAATTTTAACCTACATTGCTGAAAATAATTGTCATTTTTAATTACTTTTTCAATCTTTCCTATAGGTACATTTGCATGATTATTTCCTTCATAATCATTATCCACTGGTAAAACTGTGATAAGTATTTAGATTACCACTGCAGCGTATCTTGTTGGGCCAAGTAGAGTACTGCAGCCAACTTACATTTCTCTTACAACATGTTTTGAGAAGGTTCTATTGGTTTCATTTCTCTGTAAACTATTCCAATTCTTTCTCCTGCTCATGGTTCCTTGAAATCTTTCATGAAATTAATATTAACTTTCATTTTCAAGCCCACTAAAAATACTAATCAGTTTTGTTCTGTTTCCACTGAAACCTGTGAAATATCCTCAGATCTAACTGAAGCCTTCTGAATCTAGAGCTCTTTCCGTTTAGACCTGGATTTCTGGTTCTCTGTTTCTGGACCACATTCCTGATTGCTTCTTATGGAGAAATTCATACAGAAGCTAGAATTGAAAATGACTTCATATTATAGCCTCCCTTGACCCGTGTGTTAGTTTAGTTACACAGTGAACACTTCAGATGATTTGCCCTGTAAGACAGAAACGTTTGTTCTGGCTCTTGGTTTCAGAGGTCCTGTTTGAGCCCATAGCACAGCAGCACAGTATGGTGGAAAGGCATAGGGGAGGAAGTTCCCTTTATGGGAGCCAGAGAGCAAAATGAAGGGAAAGCAAAATGGGAAGGGAGCCCTAAGGTAATGTCAAGAGCTTGAGTCCAGTGAACCAACGTCCTTCTATTGTGCTCTAGCTTTTCGTGGTTCCAGAACTTTCCAGTAGTGTCATCCCAAACATCATGAATCTGAGAATTCTGAGAGATACCCATCAACACTCTTTTAGCTGTGTATATAGTTTCTCAGAATCTTGGGGCCTTGTTCATCATCCTCTAGAATCTATTCTGTGAGAATTCCATAAATTCTAATTTCTTTCCTTTATGTGGTGCTTTTTTCTGTACCATCTTTTTAAAAATCCTTAGCATTTTCTACCAGTAGTCTAACATTTTTCTAATGTAGCTACATCCACAAAGAACTGGCAGTCTCTTAGGATTCACCATTTCTAAAGACTCATTGTCTTCAAATTTTAACATTCCATAAATCAACAACTGCTTTGCTATATAATATGGTTTTCCTTTCATATTCTGATTTTCCATATTCTGATCTTCCTCAATTCCCTTTTTCTTGATATTTGTTTGTGTGCATATGTGTGTGTTTAAATATAATCTATGTGAATTTCATTTATGAAATTTTCCCAAGTTTTCTTGACCTCATGTTGTAGCTTTAGTTTGCAACAGCTCTACCTTGTAATCTACTATGCTTCCTGTAGTTTTTAAAGTAATGACCTGCTTTGCTTTTATGGGTGTTTATTCTGATTCAAGTTTTTTTTTCTTTTTTCTTTTTTCTTTTCCTTCCTTCCTTCCTTCCTTCCTTCCTTCCTTCCTTCCTTCCTTC